AAATTTATTTATTTTTATTTTAGGGTTTAGGGTTTAATTCTTAAAATTTATTTATTTTTATTTTAGGGTTTAGGGTTTAATTCTTAAAATTTATTTATTTTTATTTTAGGGTTTAGGGTTTAATTCTTAAAATTTATTTATTTTTATTTTAGGGTTTAGGGTTTAATTCTTAAAATTTATTTATTTTTATTTTAGGGTTTAGGGTTTAATTCTTAAAATTTATTTATTTTTATTTTAGGGTTTAGGGTTTAATTCTTAAAATTTATTTATTTTTATTTTAGAATTTATAGTTTAATTCTTAAAATTTATTTTTTTTATAAATCCTAAACCCTAAATCTTAAACCCTAAAATAAAAATAAATAAAATTTAAGAATTAAACCTTAAACCCTAAAATAAAAAAAATAAATTTTATCCCTAAACAGTAAAATAAAAAAAAATTAAGAATTAAAATAAAAAAAATAATCATTTTATATAGTTGATTATTATTTACTATTATAAATTATTATTATTATTATATATATTTAATATTGGTTTCAATTTTATGAAATAAAATTTACATATTTATTAAATTATAAATATATATTAAAATTTATATATATATTGAGTGTGAGTGTGTGTGTGAGTCATGTGTGTGTCAGAGAGAGAGAAAGAGAGAGTTTGGTGCAGTATTGAAAGTGTGGTTTCTAATCACATTTTTTTTATAACACAGTTTAATTAAGAAAGTGTGGTTAGAAATCATGTTTTTTGAAGAAAAAAAAAATTATTTTCCTTAAAAACGTGATTTGAAATCACATTTTATGATTAACTTAAAATCGTAATTTGTAACCAAGTCTCTTAATTAAAAGCGTATAACCACGCTTATAAAAAGTGTATAACCACACTTATATTGTTTCACAAATTTTTTGCAGGATGGAAACCGTAAAAGCGTGATTTGTTATAATACTTTACCTTAGTTTGAAAATTTCGTCCAAATTAACCGTAGTTTGAGAAATAGGTTGCTAAGTTGGCTTAAATTGAAAAAAAGCCCCTCTCTCGCTCTTGTCTTCTCCCCTGGTGCTCTTTCTCTCTCTACAAAACTCGCTTTCTCTCTCCTCTGCAACTGATTACTACAAGATCCAACCATTCTCCTAGATTCTGATTCACTTTTGCGCTGATCTCATCTCCGATTCTCTCGGTCCAAAATCGAGCTGCGGTGAGTCCTCAATCATCGAAATCAGTAAAGTTTCGTCTCATCTTCGATCGCTTTTTCTCCGTACAAAAAACCTAACACACAAAACTGCATTTCTCACTGTTTCACTGACTGATTGTGAAGTTTGACAAGTGTATGTCAAGCGTTCTGTACTTTACTATACTTGTTTTTCTGCAATCACGGCAATTCTGATGCTTGGAGTGAAGATCGTGATGATTAAATCGATCTTCGGTGTACAATTGCGGTTTGATGTTTGTGATTTTGGTTTTTTTTTGAAGTTTGGAAGTGAATTGATGATCATTTTCTAAAAACTAGCCAATTTTCGAATTTGTGAGAAATGATATGAAAATGACAAGTGGTTTTGAACTTTTCATTGCTTTTGTTTCCAAAAACATGGGAAATGAAAATGAAAATGAAAAACAATAACAAAGAAAACAAAATTATACCACATATGCCATTAGGGTGTAAGATATTGGGGTGAGGGAAAAGATGAAATACCTTTGGTCCAGAACATTGGGGGAAAACGAGTTCATAAAAGAGTGTTGCTTGTTAGATAGCTTTATATACATTGTTAGGCCCATTTTCTAACTACTTAGGCTTTTGGAAAAATTGATGGCTTAATATTGTATCCGATCCTGTTGAGAGAGGTATTGGTTCAAGTCTCTCCGTCAACATTTGTTATTATATCCCCATTTTTTTTCTTCCTGTCTGTTTGGTTGTTTGCTTGTCAACATTTGTTATTATATCCCCGTTTGCTTTCTTCCTCTTGTTTGCTTCTCATTCTGTTTGGTTCTTTGTTTGTCTCTCTACATGCAAGATGGGGTTGCATGTGAGGGAGGGTGTTAGATAGCTTGTCTCCTAACAACTTGGGCTTTTGGGAAAATTTGTGACTTAGCAATATATTACCTAAACATTTTACCAACACTTTCCACTTCCTATGTAACTTCTCATGTGGCATGATAAGTTCCCATATATACACATGAGATTTATTGCATGAATACACATAGGAGGTGAAGTAAAGGGGTGAAAAAATGGGTAAATAAGACCAGCCGGTATATAATTTCTGGATAAGGAGATAATTGAGAGAAGTTGAACCTAAGAAAAAAGTGAAAAGAAGGGGTAGTGTTAACATAAAGAAGAATGGAAGGAGAAGGAAAAAAGGGTAATTGCAGTGGTGCCCTTGACTCTCTCTCATTTTTTCTTTTTTCTTTTTTTTTATATTAAATAAAATAAAATAAATTGTGAAAAACATTTTGGTGCCCTAGAGCTATAATGCGTAGAAGAACAAATATAAGTTGGATTGTTGGATATTAGTTCATAAAAAGTGACGTAGGAAAGCATTTGAAAGTGAGAATGGTGTTGCTCATCATGGTATCCTAGGGTCATGGAAAGCTTTTTGGTGTAATAAAAGGTAGAAGAACGGTTGTAGGCTAGCATTAGAAGATAGAAAAGGGTTGGAATTGGCTTGGTTCAAAAAGTAATGTCACTGGTTTCTAACAAAAGTACTATAAGTTTGGAGTGTATATGATTTTAGACCTCTGTTTGAGGATGTGTTTTAGTGTCTTGTTTGATTTACGTTGGTTGCTTCCCCTTTCGATGCGTTTTCTCAATAAATTCTTACTAAAAAAAGATAAGAAAAATGAAGTACTAAAAGTTTATGAAATGAGTAATATGGGTGGCACTCCCTTTGTCATGCCTATTCTAATAAATCTTTACTTGTAAGAAAGAAACATTTATGAGACGAGTAATTATTGCGGTTTGGGCCTTAACCAAAGGCTAGAAGGTATAGAAAAGGATTAGGGCTTGATAGTTTAGGCATTTATGAAGAAATGTGCTGTCCTAGGGCTTTTGACATTAAGTAACGGAAGGAGGGGGAGGATCCAATGATCACCTCGAGTTTTAGTCTAAGCTCCTATAGTGGTTAAGCTTCATTCCATGAACACAGTCTCAAACTTACTGAATGTCAACTTCATTACGTGGAAAGCTCATATAGGTACTTATTGGGAGTTGCACTTCTCAGACCTCAGGGTTGAGACTTTAGAGTAGAGAACTTTGATATTTTGACTACTAAAACTATTTAAAACCTATTAAAGGTCACATAAAGACCCAATAATATAATTTGGCCTCAAAGACGACCAATGACCCTATACCAAAAAATAGATAATTGGCTCTAAGGATATTACTAAAATATCAATAAACCTGACCATCAACATACTAATTTAGAATAAACATATAAAACAAAAGTTGATGTGATCAAAAAGTTGGAAAGAAAAGTCATGTTCATATCCATTTGAAAATTTCAATATGATCTTTTTTCTTGTTACTATACTTTCGCCAAAAAAGCCATCAGTTTATGTTTGTAACTTAAGGTTTACTATGTGGGTATCTATACTGACCTTGTGCCGTGGCAGTCCAATGGATGGCACGTGCCTCAACATCATCATCTCCATGCATCAGTCCTCGAGAGGCACCACGATGTTCCTGTGCGAACTTGTTGGGGTCATATGTTTATCCTAAGTGGAGGCATATAGACACTAAGTATGGTTGCTCCGTCCACTAGCGCACTCAAATGTCGTATGAAGTATTAGAGCCAGAGGCATAGCCCACTATACTACTCAGTTGAGCCAATCTCAGGGACTCTGTCATAAGTGCCATGGCTTGACATCCCTAGCTTGCCCAAACAAGCCCTCATTTGGCCATGGCCCTACATACCTCATTTTTATAGGGTATGCTAATGCTAGGAGCGATTAAGAGCACTGCTCAATCGGTGTGCCTCTACTCGGTCACACCCACTTGGCGGTGGCAGCAGCATAGCTTGGCCTTTGGTGTGCCTGTTGCCCTTATCTAGTTACCTGCTTACCTGGGGTTACTATTACTACTATAATGGCTTCATTAGACATCATAAGCTGGGAGCAGGGTCTAGGAATCCACTACTAAGGATTTTTGGAGGATTGTGGATTGGAGGTTAGAATTAAGGCCTCGTTGAGTAGCTCCTCCTTGACCAATTTTAAAGAGAGAGGGACGTTGACCTAACACCTAACACCTCGAAAGAGATATCATATCTACCACCTACTCCATGCCATGATCTCTCCGAAGTGTCATACTAAACTCTCTAGCTCTCATGATACAAACTTCGAGGTCTGAATCATGGGGTGGATGCAATCATAGGCCAAATATGTTCGCTATGTCAGTCAAGGAGACTGACCACCTGGCCATAAGTGAGTTGGCTTCCAACAGTTTTGGAGCTTATATAAGAGAGTATCCATGGACGTAGAGAAACACACAAATCTATCATCTTCTACTTCAGTGACAAAGGTCTCTCATTGCCACCCTTTCTCTGTCTAAGGCTGCTTTGGTTTTCTCTTCTGCCTCAGACAATCCTTAGGCATTGAAGTTCCCACCATCTTCCCAGAGGTCCACTATTGACCACCTCACTACCAAATACCTACAAAGCGTAACCTTTTTCTTTATTTATGTCTTTATTATTACTAACCCAAACTGGAGACCACTTGGATTTCGTTGGGAATTTTATTCTAAAATGTTCACTGATATGAATATGAACAAAGCTTGAACTAGGTGTACTCAAAAACATCTAAAATGACTAGGCTTTAACTGAACTTATGCATAGAAGAATAATCACAGCATACTTGGACCCACGATATTTACATGCATGTATGTATCTATGCAATGTGCAAACACTCACTAGCAGGGGTGCTCGCGAATTGGGTGGCCTTCCATCCGCCATCTGTCCAAACTTAGGCGGATTAGAAAAAATTAATACGCATCCGTCCGTTTAGTTAGCTAATGCGGATTGAGCAGGCCTTGTGGGTTGGTGGGTGGATGCGGATCGATTTGGCAGTTTGGACTTTACTATTTTATGTCTTTTTAATAACTATTTTAGAGTAATTTTTTACTGTTTTACGCCTTGTTTGAGTCTAAAATTTTTATTCTTCATTTTTTATAATTTAAATAAAGGCCAAACTTTCATATTTCATAAATAGTTAATATTATTATTAAATAAAATGTCTTTTATCATTTTCTGAAGGAGGGTTGGCAAATCAGGTTGGGTCGGGTAGTCTTTCATCTGCCATCTGTCCAAACATAGACGGATTTGGAAAAATTTTGTCCGCCTATACCATCTAAACCGTTTAAAAGTGAGTGGATTGGGTTAGGTTGGGTCGGTTTTGGCAGATAGTCTGGGCCCGTGAGCACCCCTACTCATTAGTATGAAATTTTTATTATTCTAAGTTCTAAATATGCGATATTAAATTTCATCCAAGTGAACATGAATTATGTACATTGATCCAAACATTTGGATTGGATTCAAAATCATTTATCCTCTTTGTTCTCACTTCAAAATTGGTCAAGTGTATAATATTGTTAATGCTTTTTCTAAAATAATTAATACGTTCTAGAAAGGCCTTTTATCAATCTTGTTGAACACATCTTTCTGGAAGCATTCAGATATATGTTCAAAACTAAAGTGTGTGTTCTGTTTATAGATATGTTTGGGTAGTATAAGCCTCATATCTAGGATATTCTCAAGTTTTCGTGCCTGCTATCGAGAAAAGATGTAGTGCAGCACAGCTTTAAGAAACTTAAGCCAAGGCTGCTTGTGGTTGGTGTCTGGGTGGCTTCCTAAGTTATGATCCTAAAAGGTGGAAGCAAGGATTGAGGTTTTGGGGATTTGAAAAGACTTGTAACTTGCTAGGATTTAAAAGTTCCTGCTTGCTGGATTTTGTAAACAATGTGCTAAAATTCTTAAAACAGTGGCTAATTTTGGGGGCTCTGGTGTAGAATTAAAGGCCAAAGGGAGGGGAAGTATTTAGGTTGGTTAGAACTTGTTTGGAAAGGCTTTAGCGGCAGAAATTGATACTATTTTTATTTTTATTTTTATTTTTGGGTAAGTCGGCACTTTACTTCTCAACTTCTACCTGTTTCTAATTTTCTTTAATGGCACATATGATCTTAAACAATTCGTCCAGCTTAGTCCCCGTTGGATG